CAAGGATTTGCCTTTTTTTCTTTTGTCCAGCTACGTCCAATTTACTTCCAGTTTTTACAAGCTCACTATGAAGCAAGCCATATGGCATATTATGACACATTAGCTTACATCTAGTGTTTTATTTTCATATCGCTCAAGTCCAGCATAAAAGCCAGTCGATAGCGGCAGTTCAGACAGTTACTGTGAGGTGATGGGTGATTAAACTGAGTCTTTTCATGTGATACCACGGGTACAATGACGTTTGCAGTAGGCAGTGTTGACTGCTCGCCCCGCCCCCCCCCCCTCCCCCTTCTCCTTCCCCCACTTACAACGTTCGGACTACAGACTCCGGCGCGCGAGATAAAACTCCGGCGGCGGCCAGAAGGTTCAAAGCCTTGCCGCCAGCACTACGGAGAATTCGCTGGGTCGATCAGCGTGCCAGGCCAGCCACTGGCAGCCGCGGTCTCATAGTCACCGGCACCCGCGGTCTCATGATCGCCGGCACCCGCGGTTTCATAGTCGCCGGCAACCGCGGTCTCATAGTCGCCGGCACCCGCGGTCTCATAGCCGCCGGCACCCGCGGTCTCATAGTCGCCGGCACCCGCGGTTTCATAGTCGCCGGCAACCGCGGTCTCATAGTCGCCGGCACCCGCGGTCTCATAGCCACCGTCACCCACGGTCTCATGGTCGCCGGCACCCACGGTCTCGTAGTCGCCGGCACCCGCGGTCTCATAGTCGCCGGCACGCGTTAAGTGAGCTGGCGCATTCATGACTTTCGTCTGCTGTTTATGCCTTAAAATTCGTGCGAATGAATCGGCCATGGCGTATTTTGTGCTCCGCAGCACGGTTATAACCAGTTGCACACGTTCACCGCAGAGTCCTTGTGTTTCTGCCTCAAACGGTGGTACTATCCTTCAAGATACAGCAACACGAATGCTGTCACTGCAATACTATATGCTTCCTAATGCCGACTACAACAATGCCTTGTGTCTCCAGTTCCAACAGAGCTTGCGGTTTGCTGACAACCGTTGTCCGGAGATCAAAAGGCAGAGATTGAGGTGGCAACCGGACTCTGGCAGCAGATGAAAATGATATGCAATAAAGGAAGCATGCCTTCGAATTCCGCACTGCCTGAACAGTTGATTGCACTGCAAAAAGCCTAAGCCGGGCCCCCGGGGACACAATCGCCACACAACATCGGACAGAGATCATGAGAGACGTACGATGCGGAAAACAGGCCAGCACATGCGATGCATATTCATTCATAGCTGCCGGCTGGCGCCCGCGCTCATTCATTCATAATCGCCCGAAAGTTACCTTGCGCCCCCGCTTAAAATGCGCGAGCTACACTCACTTCACGAGGAACCCGTATGATGACGTCAAGCTGAAGATGACACGGCAGCCGGCGGCCGCGCGACAAGCTGGGTGACCAGCGAACATGACAAGCAGCCCGTTAGCCCAGAACTGCGCGCTTATGGAGCTGACGTGCCCGATCCGATACCGTGCAGCCGCTGAACTCTGTGTAAACTGCTCTGTTGGCGCCTCACTGCCACGGCGCGATGTCATAAACAACTTGACAGCATTGGAAGATGGGCCTCTCGAACGAGGCAGCACTTATCTGCAGGGGGTCTCGATGCATCTGCAATGCGCCTGATGAGACCGCGCGACCCGGCGGAGCGCTGTCGTCGTCGCGATGGCTTCGCGATGACCTTGCGGTGACCCCGCGGCCATCCGGCTCCGTTCCGCCCGCTCCTGTGCTTGAGATAGCAGACAACTAAAGACAGACAGCCATGACGAGGCCAGTCGCCACTGGTGGTGATTCTACACGGCTGTCGGCGACTGTACCACTGCTTGGAACATCTCACATTTATCACCATCCCTCCCAGCTGTCAATGGTAAATGGCGCCAACATCGCCAATCCTTTGGAGCCTGTAGCGAAGACCTTTCAGCTCATCGGTTATGTATATGTATGTTATAATATATATATATATATATATATATATATATATATATAAATATTACAATACATAAACATATATATGTGCATTGTTGTATATGCTATATAGATATGTATATATATAAAATAGAGAAGAGAGAGAGAAGAGAGAAGAGAAGACATAGAGAGAGAGAGAGAGAGAGAGAGAGAGAGAGAGAGAGAGAGAGAGAGAGAGAGAGAGAGAGAGGAGAGAGAGGAGAGAGAGAGAGGAGAGAGAGGAGAGAGAGAGAGAGAGAGAGAGAGAGAGAGAGAGAGGAGAGAGAGAGAGAGAGAAGAGAGAGAGAGAGAGAAGAGATAGAGAGAGAGAGAGAGAGAGAGAGAGAGAGAGAGAGAGAGAGAGAGAGAGAGAGAGAGAGCCTACACTGTCAGTAGGCAGACTGCCAGCGGCATGTGCCTGAGCCGGCGGTATTCAACGGTTTCGCGACACAATGCGACACAATGCGACAATTTCCAGTCTCTGACGCATGGGCGTAGAAACAGGGGGGGGGGGGGGCAGGGGGGCCATGCCCCCCACTTTTCAAAATGGGGGGCAGCAATGTTAACTGGCCCCCCACTTGTTAGATCAAGGTTGCATTTGGCTTACTTTTGCACTGCATTAAACATGCATGCCGGTTTACCTAGTTCACGAGTCATCGCCCATCAGATGCGTCATCTTTTTCGTTTGCTCATTAGCCATCACTTAGTGTTACAGCCGCAAAGGCGACGCCGCACGGCCTGGAGACTGCAACGCCGGGCGTCGAGGCTGTTACCGTTATGACTTCTGAGCACGCATGTTCACCATATTACGTAGTTTTCTTATCAATAATCAGCTCTGACAGGATCTTGAGCATAAGACGAACATGGGCCAGCCATGTTAATACAAATTATGAACCCCATTTCACCTGCAATCTACAGTCAGGGAGAACTCAATATCCCTGAAGAACACAGAAAACCATGGAACAGAAGTCTTTGTGAAAACTATTGGACTGCCTGCGGTGATCAGGGATGTTGTTTCGGCAGTTAGGGTCCCTGTGCTGATATGGATGTGCTGCGCGGATCAGAAGGCATCCCGTGTCAGGGATGGGAACAATGTGATATGATATATCCTTCTATTGACCTCCGGATCGACCAGGAGATCCGGCCCTGTGCCACCAGAATGATAGCCAGAAGACACTTCGCGATGGGACGGAATGGCCCTTCAGCCTTTGGCCGGAAACGGTAGTGTACCCCTGGTGTTCTATTCAAGAGGCCCCTCGCCCGGAAGGGAATAAGACGTCTCATCATTGTTGAGTAGAGTGGGGCTCTCATTATTGTTGAAAGGCACGGGTCGAAATGAATTTAAAAAGAAGATTAGAGAGGACCGTCATGCCATGTTTGCCTGAGAATGTTCTTTTCTTTCAAAATGTGTTACTGAAAAAAATACATCAGAAGGCTTGAACATACCCGCCCGCAACCTCGAGAGCAAGGACCTCGACAACATGGACAACCTCGAGTGCGCATGCTCAAAATTACGCCACATAACTTGTATAACTAGTTGATTAAAGTGTTTAAAGGCAATCATTTCAGAAGCGTCATCACTTTCGTCCACCGGTGGACCACGGCTAAATGTTAGCTACTGGACTAACGCCGTGTGGACTATGGAGACTGCAACGCCTAGTGGCGAGGTTTTTGTTGCTAAGATTTGTGAACGAGCATGTTAAAAAACACCTTACATGAATTGTATCACTGATCGATTCTAACTGAATGGTGAACTTTTTCAGACAAACATGGCTTGACCATGTTAAAACACATTGTTGACCACTCGATTTGCAATAACATTTTCGTCTTCAAATTTGGATCAAACATATCGATATACAATCTACCTTCACAATGTCCTAAATGTCTGTAGAACCTGGATAAAAACTGACAAAGGTTCTGAATTCTATCGGTTTAGAAAGAGTCAGCTAGCCATTGTAAATTAAGAGCGCCGGTGATTTCTTTCCATGTAGTCGTTCAACGTCTGCTTTCTGCAGCTTATTCACCTCAAAATGCAAACTCTAGTTAAAGTCTAGAGCTCTCCTGAAATTATCCTGTGAGAAACAAGGCAGTGATGGATCGAACATCGCACCCAGTTGCTCCCAATCTCCGACAAACGCTACGAACGCTCCCAATGCTCTCCGAATTGAGCGATATGCATGCCCCTGTTCTGCCTGTCGCTTGA